GGAAAGGGGGGAGAGAGATGGGGAGGAGGGGAGAGACACAGGGAGAGAGATGGGGAGGAGGGGAGAGACACAGGGAAAGGGGGGAGGGAGAGAGATGGGGAGGAGGGAGAGACAAAGGGAAAGGGGGGAGGAAGAGACACAGGGAAAGGGGAAGAAAGAGGCAGAGGGGGAAGAGAGAGACTGGGAAGGAGGGGAGACATTGACACAGAGGAGCAGTGAGGGGGAGAAAGAAACATACAGAGTGACTGGGGGAGACAAAAAGGCACACAGAGGGGCTGGAGATAAAGAGACACACATAGGGGCAGTATATATCACTGGTGGATGGGGGGGGGCAACAGGTCCCCCCCCAAGGCTTTCCCCTGCCGGCCGATCTCCCTCCCCGTTCCACAGGCACCGTGCAGCCAGTCGGCAACGCTCCGGCTCTCACGAGGGTGAACTCTAGCCCTGGAGCTCCGGGCTAGAGTTCACTCTCACCACTTCCTGGTGGTCCCAGTAGTAGGAGTGAACTCTAGCCCGATACACACACTGCCCCACACACACACACACACACACACACACACTATACACATTCACACACTGCCCCCACACACACACACCATACACATTTACACACTGCCCACCCACACACTGAACCTTTCACACACATTGCACCACTGCTCCTATACCCTACTACAGCCCCATATCCCAGCAGACTCCAGGTAAGTTGTCAAACTGTTCTTAAATGGTTTGACGACTTACTCTGGGAGGGGGTGCCGACGCTCCTGGCACCATAACCACTACACAGAGGAGTAGTGGTTATTGTGCATGGAATATTTCTTTAAATAATCTACAAGTGCCCCTCTCAGGGTCAGGCTCTGGATCCGCCACTAGTATATGACATGTATATTAATGTGTGTATTAGTTATATATATATATATATATATATATATATATCAATATATATATATATATATATATATATATATATATATATATATATATATATATATATATATATATATATACACACACACACACACCTATTATATTTACACATATTAATGTACATTTATAAATGCATAATACACAGAGAAATTTCATTAATATGTACCATATGTAATGAGCAGATATTGGCCCAGTCTTGTTGCTAGGTGCATACTCCAGCACAATAACATATTTAAAGTGAAGAGCACACCCACAGGACTTCAAAATAAATTTTTTTTACAGTTGTGCCCTACATCCATTCACCATTTCAGTCCCATTAACACGTTTTCCTTAATATGTCAAGGTAGTTGGACTGAAACATTGATTACATGCAAAGGCACGTCTGCTTAAAATAAATCTGCACTTTTGTTTATTTTGAAGCCTATGAGTGCGCTTTTTACGTTGAAGTACTTTTTAATTTTAAGTTATCTGTTCTAACTCTGTATCTGCAGACTATGCTGGCGTGACGCATTATGGGGCTGGTAAATATTTTTTTTCCAGGGCTGCTTTTAATTCCCAGTCCGGCCCTGTCTGGAAGTGAGTGTGTGTGTGTGTGTGTGTGTGTGTGTCTGGAAGTGAGTGAGTGAGTGTGTGTGTCTGGAAGTGAGTGTGTCTGCCTGTCAGTGTGTTTGTGTATGTGTCTGCCTGTCAGTGAGTGTTTGTCTGTCTGTCAGGGTTTGTGTGTATGTTACTGAGAGTGAGTGCCAGTGTGTCTGTCAGTAGGGCCAGCCTTTGAGGTGGGCAAGCTGTGGGGTCACGTAGGGTGCCATGACAACAGAGGCGCCCGGTGACCAACACAGTTCACAGGTTTGGGACACCAGCACATTAAAGGGACACTTCAGGCACCAAGACCACTTCTGCCCATTGGAGTGGTCTGGGTGCCCACTACCCTTAACCCTGCAACTGTAAATATTGCAGTTTTCATAAACTGCAATAATTACATTGCAGGGTTAACTCCTCCTCTACTAAACAGCCACTAGATGGCACTTCCTGGTTTATAGCACAGGCTTTCTGTGCTATAGCATCGCTTGACGTCCTCACGCTATGTGAGGACCTCCAGCGTCGCTAAAATCCCCATAGGAAAGCATTGACAGCATTTTCAATGCATTCCTGTGGAGAGGTCTAATGGGCGTGTGCGGCATTGCCACGCATGCGCATTAGGTCTCCCCCGCAGGCAGCTGCGCATGGGCAATCGGTCTCCCCCGCCGGATGACGTCAACTGGGGGAGGAGCATGGGCGGACCCTAAACCAGCACCGAGGGACATGGCGCTGGTCTCAGGTATGTCTCTGAAGGGGTTCTAACCCCTTCAGCAACATGGGATGGGGGTGGGAGGGAGAGAGGACCTGCAATATTCCTTTGATTTAAATGATTCCCTAGTGGTCCACTGGTGCACACCAGCAGTAGGTGCCTTAGATCATATCCTCTCCCTCGTGGTTCCAGTGCTCAGTTAGTGAGTCAGAGCACAGGCTCAGAGATTCTCAGCATGCGCTCTATCAACATTGAAAGTCTGAGCCGCAAAGGAGTGGGTATGGCAAAGAGCTACTGATTAGCATTACATCAATATCTGTTATAAAACCAGGAAAAGGTGGGCATGGATGGTGAGCTGATTCGGGGGTGCAATGGGCCACTTGACTGGATTTGCCCCCCAGGCCTGAGGCTGCCAGCCCTCCCCTGACTACCACCAAAACCAGACATAAGTAACACTATTTTGGTACTCCTTGCTTCACTAAAGGGGTCTCTGATGACCCTCACACAGTAGATTCTGTCTGAGTTTCTTCTTGGTGGCTACAAACCTCCCTCAGTTTCGTTATGGGTTTAATACATGATATTAGTGAAGGTGGGTTTGTTTTTCTGATTCCAATAAATGTGAGATATGAACCAATAAGTTTAAAGTAACATACAAAAATATGTGTTTGTGATGCAAAATAGGTTGCTGTTTGATGGATAAACTACTGTAAGGTTATTGTGTTTGACTTTAATAAACACTGCACAGTGCTCACACACTCATAAAAACATAAAAAGGTTTTTCCTTCACCAAACACCTAACATAAACTGTCAACACTATAAATTGGTGATAACCAGGGGCGTACCTAGAGCATTTGGCACCCGGGCGGGTTCTTTTTTTGCCCCCCTCCTCCCTTCCCCCAACTTTAAATGTAAAAGACAACTGAAATTTATTTATTTTATTTTTATTCATTATTTTTTATTTAGCACTGAGCAGTGTTTGTGTGTTTAACCCGTTAAGGACTGAGCCAAATGTACACGTTGTGATCAAAACAAACAAAAAGTTGAAATTGCGCTACATGTCTGTTTAGGCATAATTCACCTCTTTCATATTATGTGCA